TCTCTGACTGGATTTTCACAATGGGATATGGGGCAAAAGAGCAAAGTTGAAAGGAAATTTTAGAAATAGTAATTCTCATTTCAGTCAGCATGACGGGCTACATCTTCTGATCCCAGTGCTTTCTAAGTTTGATAAGGTGAGAATACAATCTCAGTGCCACAAAACATCTAGCTCCTTTATCCCTGTCTGTGCAAATTATGTGAAAATGTGCAGTTGTTGAAATGTAGCCCTATTTTCCCCCCAAAAGCCTGTAAAATGTGGGTGGCATTCCACAAATCTCTCCTATAGATATTCTGACAGGGCTTTAATGCCACCAGTAAAACTTTTCAAAGTCACAGAGCTTCCAGGAGGGGGTCGGGGGTCTTCCGCTCAGCTGGAGAGGCAGCCACACAAAGGTGGAGCGAGCCGCTATCAGTCCCTTTGAGATGATAATCTGCGAGATCGCTCTTGCAGCGACAAACGGGGCCACGGAGACTGCCATCTTTACATTACTGAGAAAAGGCCAATGCCGACTGACAGCTACAAATGAGCCCCGCTCCTGAGCCTAGACACAATCACAGCCATCTAAACCCACACTGACGTTTTAATCCTCCCGAAATAACCTACGCTGAAATTCTCCCACAGAGGCAATGAGAAAGGGTGTGTGTGTGTGTACGCGTGTGTAAAAAAGCAAGAAATGGGAAGAGAAGTGCAGACATGGAGAAGGATGCTTGTGTGAATAAGGTTTCTGTATGAATGCAACTGTGATTCTAGATCAGTTTACACTTAACAAGGGAGTCCAATATGTTGAATAGTATGAAGTGAGTAATTCTATTTCATAACAATGACATGCATCACAATAGTTAATATTTCTGGGAACAAGATTGGAAAGAAACAACAGAAAAACAAAGTAAACTTGAATGTTATTTGGCCCTAAATAGAGATTGCACAACTGCAGAATATTGGAGTACAGTGAAAGACTGTAAATTAAGAAGACAAATGACGAGGTACAGACTGAGCAATCATACTCTGACTATAGAGACGGGCAGATATCGACAGCACTGGCTGCCCAAAGAGAGCCGCATCTGCCCATACTGTACCCATGGGAAAGTGGAGACAGAGCAACACTTCCTCACCAGCTGCTATAACTATCAAGACATTAGAAAGAAATTTTATCCCAAATTTGAAACTAGGGATGCACCGAAATGAAAACACTGGGCCGAAGGCCGAAGGCCGAAGGCCGAATACCGAATACGGTTTTTCGAGTTTGTTTCCCCATGTATTTTGCCAAAATTGTTTTTTCACCATTGCATAAATTAAAAAGCCAAAATGTGCTTTTTACCGTTTTGTCTTGCTTTTCAAAAAAAAAAAAATCAATTACAAAACAACAATTTAAAAATATTTAACACTGAACATTTTTAACATTCTAGCAGACACTATACCAACAAAGCACAATTTAACTTAAAATTAATAAGTTAGTAAAATAATATTTTTTGGCCATCAGACCCCCTTCTTGAATCTTGAATTTTTTTTTTTTCTTTTTACTGTACAATTAAAAGCAGCCTTGCTGAGAAGAGACTTCTTTTAAAACATTAGAAAATATTACAGATCCTAATTTGAACACTATGTGTGAATGTTATAATAAATGTATTAAAACAGAGCTGTTGTAATGATTATTATCATTATTATTGTCTTACTTGTTATTGTATTTTACAGAACAACAGTAAAATTACTTTAATTCTTGCTTTTTCTCAACTTTTATTTTGGCGGAAACGCACAGGAAGACCTCAATGCTTATTTTTGTTGACATCAGATTTATAAATGAGTCTCATTACGAATACGTCGTACCTATCGCATTGTCACATGCCTTGTAAAAATTCATAAAAATGTGACTGAGCAACTGACGACTGATTTTCCTCGCGCTTTGGACTTTGAACCTTGAACCCTGGTTAACAAGCAGATCTGCTGCGAGCTCGTGCAGCGCTGTCAGAATACATGCAATGCGCGCGTGTATTAGAAAACATAACGTTCTGCAGTTTATTTACTAATTGTTTAAGGCCATTTCGCGATTTCAATCATCATACAGTAACCAGTAACAATCACCCCTTCCACTTCTCATTGAAGACCGATGCAGTCCTAAACAGTCTCTGGCTATCGGTGCTTGTAATGATTTTTGCGTCTTTCTCCGACAGTTTAAATGCTTCCACCCTGCTGACTTGTGTGCTGCATCATAAAGAGTGCGCGCCTCTCACTCTGCGCTGGTTGCTATTTGATCGCGTCATATCATTGTTCGGTACAATTTATTCGGTCTTTTCGCTTATTCGGCCGAACACCGAAAGAGCTTTTTTTGCTATTTTCGGCTGAATAATTTCGGTTGCCGAACATTCATTGCATCCCTGTTTGAAACACTTTGCCCTGACTTCAAAATGTTAAAGAAGAAAACACAACTTCAATATTTATTAGGTGAAAAACAATATTGTATCTTACTAGCAGCAAGATACATTGATGCCCGTCACAAAAAGTGGAGTCAACAAATCAGTGATGCGCCCACAAACACACACACACAGACACACACACACCACACTCAATTTAAAATTTTTCATTGAATTATAGAATTCATAGAATTGATTTGTTCCATTTTATTTAATTATATATGCGTGCATTTATTTATTCATTCATTCATTTATTTATTTATGTATTTTCTTTTAATACATATTTGTTCTAGATTCAATGTAAACACTATGCTTTGGCAATACATTGTAACAATTGTCATGCCAATAAAGGACATATTGAATTGAATTGAATTAAATTGAGAGAGAGAGAGAGACAAAGAGAGAGTGAGAGAGAGAGTATCTTACCTTACGTCTACATGCTTAATACTTTTTATATATTATTATTATTATTATTATTTTTCTTTCTCTTAATACATATGTGCACTATTTGTAAGCAGCCCAGCTGCAATTGCTTTGGCAATACAAATGTATAGTTTTTTTTCATGCCAATAAAGCACACTTAAATTGAAATTGAAAAAAATTGATTGCTGCAGCACCAAAATATTAGTCACCAGTTAAAACTGTAACATTCTGATACTGCAGCAAACAAAAATAATAGCCCAAATCTTTCTTCTTTTATTGCAGACATGGAGAAGGATGCTTGTGTGAATAAGGTTTCTGTATGAATGCAATTGTGATTCTAGATCAGTTTATACTTAACAAGGGAGTCCAATATGTTGGATATTATGAAAGGAGTAATTTTATTACATAACAATGACACGCATCACAATTGTTAATATTTCTGGGAACAAGTTTGCTGCAACACCAAAATATTGGTCACCAGTTAAAACTGTAACATTCTGATACCGCAGCAAACAAAAATAATAACCCAAATCTTTTTCTTTCATTGTTTGCTTAGAACACAGAAAGCAGCAGGTATTTAATATGAGGCCGCTGTCACTCTACCTAGGCTAATGCATAGATCCCATACACTGACACACAACCGATTTTTCCCAATTATCCATATATGCAAATACTCACCAGAACAGGTATTTTGACATAATTTTGTATGTATTTGACCATTCATCCGCAAAAGCTAACTCAAGATAACTCAATTTCCTACTTGCAAACACCAAGCCACAAGTCAGACAGCACGTTAAGCCCTGTGCCCCTAATACATTACCAAAACTGTTTATAGTACAAGAGTAAACACAAATGTCCATAAAATCAAATCAAAAACTGATAATATGCAAAGCACCATGCACCTCAACTGACGCCACAAGCAACAAGCAGGTCAAAGCTGCGCGTGCACAACTCTACGTGATTATTAGTCACAAATGACTAAATGTAAACAGCCAAGCAAAATTGCACGTGGACGAGTTCTCACTATTTACACTCGATTTCTCACTCCCAAAGGCAAATAAAGTGTAAAACACATACCTTTAAAGTTTCATGACTTCCGTGATGCTTCATTTTTTCTGCAAAAAAAGTTGATGTGATGTATCAAATAATATCGGATTCCAAACTTTCACAACCTGTCTCTCCAATTTCCGTCCATATTTGATTATTAATATGCATGAATAGTGATCCAATGAGATTGCCATATGGGCGGGGCAACCTGACGCGACGACATTGATTATTTTTTATTATTTTATTATTTATTTATTTATTTGGACAAAAAGTGACAGATGAATTTATGCGATGACACAGCAGACTCTGTCAAACAACAAAACATACGAGAAGTGAAACCTTTTAAAAGTTTATATTTTGTTTGTTTCCTTAACAATACACAATTATATGGATCGTTGCAGTTTTTCATTTGTGTTCAGTATTTTCTCTGCTGTCCTGTGATCAGAACTGACCTGTGACCCACCTGTTGTGAACAGTGTTGGGCAAGTTACTTCCAAAATGTAATACATTATACTTTCTTTTACGAGTCTCTCGATGCTGTCAGAAATTATCACAAATAATTGTACACACAGGAAATTAAGAAATATGACACAAATGACAAATGCGTGCATATTATGAGGAGGAAAAGATATTCAAGAGTGTCGAGGGAGGACTTAAGCAAACTCATTGTGATTTACTAGGGCATTTAGTACATGCAGGAACATTTTGCCTGGAACACAAAGAGGAAAGGGAGGAATATGAATGTTTGGGGTATTTAATGTTACAATTGGTTGGGAAACATTGCTATTTGTATCAGAGGGTTTTTTCATGTGTTTATAGCTTATTATATTATTATGTCTGTCCCTTAGTGGCACATTTTAAATAACATTTTATATTTGCACAGAGAACAAGCCTGTTTTCCTTGTCGATAATATGCTAGGGAGTATTTTGTTTAAAATCCACTTTGCTTCTGGCTTGATGTTCATAGTAATTTGTTGTGATGACAGCATATCATTTTTCATTCTTTAAATATTGCAGCATTTTCATCATTCAGAGGCTTCCTGTACTCATCTCAATCTCTCCGAGCGCTAGTGGAAAAAGCATCACTAGAGGAATACAGTAAATCAAATACTTTTTATTATAAAACTTTCAGTGAAAATATTAAATATCACACTTGCAGTGTGCTATTATAAAGAAAGCTCCTCTCCAGACAACACTGTAGCCCAGGAACTATTTTTGACATAATAAATTACACCCTTTTTCAATTCAGACAGTGATGAAAGACATTTGTACAACATACGTAAGATCACAACAAGGCTAAACGATGTATTTTTCTATTTGTTCGTGATTAGGAACACTTTTAAAGTCAAATAATGAACAAATGAAACACACTGTGAGACCAAGAGTTCACTAATGGAGATCCAGAAGTTATACAACTAATAAACGGAAGTACTGTTTAAAATGGTTCAGGAAAAAAGGACAGAGCACCCTGCAGTGCAACATCTACTTTTAAAAATGACCTTTTGCACTTATTAGTGTATGCAAATATCCCTTCAAGGGGTTGGGGACTGTTAATGAAGTGTTTGGAAGGAAATGAGGACAGAATGAGTCCTTCTGCTACACCTCATGTGCCATCTGCTCCAATGTTTATTGTCAGAGCAGGACCATCATACCTGAACCCTGGGAAAGGATTACTAAGGTGAGACTCCACTCTTCGGTTAAGCACAAAATAGTGGCCCAACAACTGCAGCAAACAGAAAGAGATGAAGAGCACTAACAAAGTAACCTGAGATGAGGTCCCAAGTCCTGAGAGGCTTGGGTTTGTTAGCTTCTCTTCCTCCTGAACATGACACTCACTCCTGCACACTAATTGGTCCCTACAAAGTGACTGAGAGCAACCTACTCTACTCTCTCTGACACACATCTGGGACGAGCTCATCCCTCTCGCACACCGCATGAGAGACAGCGCTGCATGAACCGCAGACAAATTTCACACACATACTGGCAGTCATACACAAACTTAGTTCATTCGCCAATGGACCCACTATATATTTCAGCAGAAGCACTGATCTTCATTAATGATAAATCCATCTTGTCTGCTTTAGTCTTCTGTGGCGATCAGACGGGATTGTGACTCAACCTTACAGGTTACACGTTTCACAGAGAAAACTGATGCATGTTAATGTGTATTAAAATCAGAAGCCTGAATGGTAGAGATGTGGATGCTCTCATGACAGGAGGAAAAGTTGAAGTTAGTTCATATATATACAAGAACAGAGTGTTTTTTTTATAGTGAACTAATAAAATATATGTTTAATTATTTTGTGAAAAAAAATTAGAATGTGTGCTGCACTTCTTATTGCACCAAAAACACTGATTCAGCACATTCACTGATTCAAACTAAAGCAGTCATGTAAAGCAGGCGGTATTAAGGTGTGGTCACATTTACCGTTGTTCAGCAAATTCCAGTCATTTCAATAGGAATCCATGCGATCAAAACTTTTGCTTGAGGAAGAATGATTTCCCCATGCAGATTTTATAAAAGGTTCAAGTTTTGAAACATAGATTTGTTGCGTTGACCAACAAATAAAGTTGCTTGGTTTGAAAGTGACTTCTGTGTGAGCTGTGCTTCATATATCACTACACTACTAACATTAGACAAGGGACAATTTTGATGCAAAATTTCACTACAATTTCACTAATGTGACCACACCTTTAGACTAAACGATTACAGGCTGAAGAGCTGTTGCCTGTGAAAAGTACTGTTTTTAAAATTAAGATAATAATAAAATCACAGTGGCTATAGCTAAACTCTTCCTCCAACAAATGATGAACAGTTGTTACTGATGTTTGTCTTGCCCCTGGTTTCCTCTGATTGGCCCACTGTTTTGAAACTGACATCTATGAGCTGTGCTGTGTCAAACGTTCAACTTCTCTTAACTCGACACTTGTCTTAAAAAAAGCACTCACATGCAAGAGGTTAAAAAAGCAGCAAGACATGAAGCAACGGACAACCATCGAGAACATGTATACATAGATGAAATTATTAAAAAGCAGTGCAGTGGAACACTGTGTGAATCATCCCTCAGTTCTGTACAGATCTGCTGGTAAACATAGAGTCTCATGGGTTCACCTAGAGCTCAAAGACTTGACCGAAATTCTACAGTACTTCATATGAGCACAGTCACACCAGTGTTCATCTGGTGGTCTTCAATGTAGCATACAAATGAACTGATGATGGAAGTCTCTTAATGGCTTTAACCTCTGGTCACGTCTCCAATCATAAAAGAACAAGCAGAGATATTTACAATATAAAAGTTTTGCAGATTGGTTATTGAAGAACCACAATTCTAGTTATGATACACCACTGATGAAGCCAGAACCAGGTGCAGTTTTCCAATGTACAGAGTTTCTCGAGTTCCTCGGATACCAGGCTCTCATTATCTCTCAAGACATGGTCCAGTGGAATGCCTCTTTACCACATCTCGCAAATATCAACTTGCTATACTCCATAGTGGTTATCTGTAGGACAATGATTTACAGATCTCAGAGTCAGTGAGGAGGCTCATGGGAAGGTCTTCTGCTTTACTGTCTTTTGGCGGAGCAGGACTTGCAGCATTGTTGACCATAGAATTTGTGATTGCAAACACCATGCTGAGGCACCAGATGACACCAGCTGAAGAAGTCGATGCAAGGCTGGTTTTCTGTTAATGGAAAGACACATAATGACTATTATTTATTCTAACCCTTAAAAACAACAGTGCTAACACAAACACTCAGTGTTTTTGTAAGTGCTGTGTACTCTGAATAGAGACATTGTGGGGATGTTGCAAAGCACTTGGAAATACTGCACCGGCATACCGATAAGGACCTGACCTGCGCTCTGAAGGCCCTCACACTCAGTTCTCCCATGAGAATAAGCAATTATACACACACAGACTTCTGTTCTCTGTGGAGGAGAGATCTTTATGTTTTCATTATCATTATAAATAAGCTGTGTACAGTACATGCCGATTATGATTCGTTCATTTAAATTATGTTTAAATGACTGTTTAATCACACAATGTATTTCAGTTTCTTATTTAAATCATGGCAGACAGTCATTTGACCTACCAATGTGATTCCAAATCAGCAAGTAAAAAGTGCATTGTTTTTCCCACTACATAATGAATAAGTGTAAACACCACTGATGTTTATCAAGCTTGATAATTGCATATGATACATATGTAAACAAAGCAACAACAACAATTAACACTGTGGCTGTGGAAAATATACATGCATTTATGCAACTGGCAGATGCTTTATCTAAAGCAATATATTTTATCAGTATATGTTTCCTGAGAATCCAGCCCATGACATTACTAACTTCATGCTCCACCAGCTGAGCTACAGAACAAGATATGAGAGTTCATAACAAATAAACATTCAGCAGAATGTCATAACCAATGAACATTCAGTGGTAAGCCCATTCAGGCATTACAGGTACTGTTGAGTGAGATAAGAGTTGAGGGAAAAGTTGGAATGGTGTAGTGTTCAAAACTCAGGGATTGCAACCAAAGGTTGCTGGTTTGATCCATGAGCCAACAATCAGTTTCCTGGTTGTGTTCTATAACTGCAAGGAAGGGAGGGAACTAACAATGAGAGTAGATTAGCTTCATTTCATTTCTTATTGTGAAGACAGTCTGGTCATGCAGATTTATGTACAACTTGGAGAAGATCAGGCCATTCATACTTGAATCTGCAGCACAACTCCTTATCTAAACTCTTTTAACCTCTAGATTATAATGCGTTTCTAGCCGACTGGCCCACATGCCCAACAAAACCTCTGCAAATGATTTAGAATACAACTCACACTTCACTTCTCTTTGTCTCGTTTCACTGGCAGCCCATTTCAGCTCAAGACACTGATAACTACACGAAAAAATAATCTCAATTTCACTATTCCATTTCAATTTCACTTTCTTCTCAGTTCTATTCTGAACAGATCTTGTACGTTTGTATTGAAGCACATCTCATGTTAATACCTCTTTAGGATAAATTGCTATGTAGTATTGCCTACAACACCAGAGTCTTGGGTTTGATTCTCAGGAACACACAAACAGATAACACACTAGCTGTGATAAAATATATACACTAAAGTCCAAATAATTAGGGGTCAGAATCATTCAGAAATCATTCTAATAGGCTGATTTGGTGCTTAAGAAACATTTCTTATTAGTATCACAGCTGTGCTGCTTAATGTTTCTGTGAAAACTAAGACACATTTTTTTTAGGATTATTTAATAAAAATAAACTTTAAAAGAGCATTTTTTGTAACTTATAATGACTTTACTGTCACTTTTGAGCATCCAAGATGAAAAAAAATTACTAATTTCTTAAAGTCTCACCGACCTCAAACATTTGAACAGTAGTGAACATTGGACTTAAAGGGATAGTTCACCCAAAAATGAAAATTTGATGTTTATCTGCTTACCCCCAGGGCATCCAAGATGTAGGTGACTTTGTTTCTTCAGTAGAACACAAATTATGATTTTTAACTCCAGCCGTTGCAGTCTATCAGTCGTATAATGCATGGCAATGGTAACAAAATCTATGAGAGTAAAAAAAAACATGCACAGACAAATCCAAATTAAACACTGCGGCTCGTTACCATTGCCATGCATTATACGACTGATAGACTGCAACGGTTAAAGTTAAAAATCATTATATGTGTTCTACTGAAGAAACAAAGTCACCTACATCTTGGATGCCCTGGGGGTAAGCAGATAAACTTCAAATTTTCATTTTTGGGTGAACTATCCCTTTAAGTATCTTCTAAATCAATAAATGAAAATGTAAAGGTAAACCAGCTTGTACCTTTAAGTGTAGGTGAGGGAGGTGGGACAGGGGCTGGGATTGGACCAGGACAGAAATGTGTATTGCAGGCCCGTGTGCTTATGGGTCTCTGATGAGGTAAACAGCCCACTGACAGACGCCCTTGTCTCAGACACTGAACGCTACGTGTCTGCACCCCACCACCACAGGACACTGTGCACTGAAAGACACAGGACAGTAAGATTAGATGTCTAGCAGAATAGAAACAGAACAGAACCCTGATTGGTTGTGATGAGCTAGTTGCGCATACCTGCAGCCAAGGAGAGGAGTACCAGCCCAGAGTCACGGAAGCGCCGCCCCTGTCTGGGCCAGGCTGGAGGAGCTGGGGAGGTGGGGGCTCTGGGCAGGGGCCATTATTACAAGCTTGTTGAAGGTCTGCTTGGGGTTTGTGGAGGTTCCTGCACCTCCTTGCAGGGAACTCTGTGTAGCCTCCTTGGGAGTCTTTCTCCCCACATTGTAGCTCTTTTCTCTTTACTCCTGCTCCACAGGAGGCCGAACACTGCATTAAACAACCGTGCAATCAGATAATAAGGTACTTAAATAAATATATACACACACATAAATATTCCTGACCCCTCGCTACAAGATCAACTTGTTCCTCCATAGCAACGGGTTAACAATGCTGTTAGTTTGGAGGAGAGAGATACTGAAGTGCAAATGCAGAATGGAAAGTGCCACTTAGCTGTCTGGAATCAAATGCTTGTTTTTGAATAAACATCGTAAGGCTGGAATACACTAAACAACTTTTTAAATCTAAAAAGTTTTTTAATAAAACTAGTAATCAAACACTTGCTGTCTTTGTAAATGGCTGCAGAGGAAAAACTGCTCATCATACGACTGAGGATCACAAATGGAACGACATTGGAAAGACATGAGGGTGAGTAATTAATGAGAATTTTCATTTTGGGGTAAGTGAATAACAAAAAAAGAACTTTGCTATGGCCTAAATGGCATGTATGCTGCCTGGATATGGATATAACTTAGCATTGTGAGATTTCCATGGAAATGTCTCTTTAATATGCACATGAATTATTCTTCATTAGGGCTAAATGGGTGAATATATGTGTATGCTACATATGCACTGTTTGCGTGAGCACTTCTACATAACCTTTGATATTCCTATGAGGGGCCTTACCTCTCCCCAGGCGGTAGTTATCCACTGAAGACGCTCATTCTTGGGGCAGCGGCTCAGCACACAGGTCTCCTGGGCTTTGGGCTTCAGGTGTAATTTACACATGCTGTCAGGCACCACCACAGCCCTGGCACCTGGATCGGTGCTCCTGCAGAAAACACTGCGCTTCTTCAACCCTCGTCCACAGGTCTTAGAGCACTAGAGAGAAGAAAGGAAAGAAAGACAAACACGGAGAGAGAGAGTTACCCTCATGTGGTCTTTGAGTTATGTTAGTTTAAACATTGTAAAGGTCACAGTGGCATGCAGTTCACCTCAAACAACAGTTGATATGAACTCTGGAGACAGGCGGTGCGAACTCAACCTGACCTTTAGGAGGAATTCAGTCAATATCAACTACTACTGCAAAATCTTCTCAAAGATTTATGATTTAACATATTACATAAGATTAGACTGAAAAAAAGGTTAAAGAATTCAGCATTGCTGCTAATGATGAAATGAACTCTGGCAACATGTTTCGACATTCTCTGGCTTCTGTGTGTGTACTTGGAAACTTAAAGTATACACAAGTAGCAACAGCAAAAGTTATTAAAAAATATTAGATTAAACCATGTGTGAAGTAGTCATTTATCTAAATGTACACTTTCCAGCATCACTAAAGTTTCAGAGAGGACACTTTTAGAAGTCCAATATATGCAGAACAGATTCTTAATGAAAGCAATGCAACAGTAAGACAGATGGAGCACAATGTGCTACATGTGCAATAACAGCAGGGGGCAGTAGTGTTCCAGCACTGATGTGACATACAGAACGGTTTCCATTATGTTGTTCTGGGCATCTCAAGCCTTCACCTCATATTTCGGTCACTTTTCAAAATTTAATATGCCCGTGTTGTAATTTAGGGAAGGATTTCTATAAAAGGGTATATAACAGAATTTCAGAAACATGTTCTGGTCAAGCTTAGACAACTAAACTTTATTCATTATAACTTATTTTCACAATGGCAAGCAAATGAACAGGACCAAAATAAAGAGCTATTTTTTTTTTTTTTTTTGGCCTCATGGAAGGAAGGAGAGTTAGCTTACATTAGGTTTAAGAGGTTAGGTTTTTAGAGGTTACATTAGGTTTGAGAGTTAGCTAACATTAGGTTTAATGTACATGAGGCTGACTTGAAGTTAATTAAAAAATTTAAAAAACATCTTTTACATTTATATTACATTTTTGACACTTATTTCTGTAACTTTATCAAACAGGATGGAATGTTTTAAAGCGAGACAAACCAATTAATACCACAAAACAAGACAAAATGCACTGCTAGTGCTCTTAAGGACCTGGCTTTTGTTAATGTGGGATTTTACAAAAGAATAGCAGAATCTGCATGAAATATTTTGTACTACGACTATTGTGTTTCATACATGACTTTAAACGTTGAGAGTCCGTATAATTTTTATTGTTTTTGAAAGAAATCTCTTATGCTCACAAAGGCCACATGTATTTGTTTAAAACTACAGTAAAAAGAGTAATATTGTGAAATATTATTACAACTTTATTTATTTTTTTTTTTTTTACATTTTAATTTATTCCTGTGATGGCAAAGCTGAATTGTCCGCAGACATTATTTCAGTCTTCAGTGTCGCATGATCCTTTAGAAATGATTCAAATATCCTGATTTGCTAATCAAGAAATCACATTATTCTTATATTTCTTATTATTATCTGTGTTAAAACCATGAGTTTCAATTTGAGTGGTTGAGCTGCTTAATATTTTTGTGCATATGTGAATTACTATGTTGAAATAGTAAAGACATTATTATAATGTTGCAAAAGATTTCTATTGACTTTAGTTGCACACGTCATGATGACATCTTATTAATTCCACTGTAGGTTGCATGTTTATGCAAACATACCTGTGACCAGGAGCCGGTGCTCCACTCCGGTGGACATGCCTGTGTGTTGCAGGGCTGTAGTTGGGCCGGAGCCATTACTGGACATAAGGAGTGAGCCGCCACCTCCTCCCGCTGGTATGTCACCTTCCTCATGCAGCGGATGTTTCGCGTCTGCTGCCCACCTCGACATGTTCTACTGCACACTCCCCATTTACCTGTCGTCCAACTGTCAAGACAAACAACTTGACCTTCAGACATGAACCTCGTGTTTGAACGTTTCAGCACATTTTAACATGGAAGAGAACATTCTACACCCATATGGCACAGACATGTGAGACGCATACACACACATAGAGCTTTCTTCAAACAAATCTACATAATGTGATGATTATTAGATTATGACAATATGATTACTCTGTAAACCACATGATGGAAAGACTAATGAAGAGACCACATACATGTGTCTGCACCCACCCCACCCCACCCCACCCTCTCTTGTGGGCTCACATGGGCATATACAAACATGCACTTATCCAATAAGTTGAAGTTTCCAGCCTAAGAATTGGAATGTTAGAGACGCATCAAGAGAGTTCATAAATACGATTTCTAATTCTGCAACATGCACATTACAAAATACCATTCCAAGGTTCTGTAATAGATTAATCAGTTTCACTACAGCAGTATGATTAACAACAGTTGGAATGCATCAATGTCTTCCTTCTGAATACTCGTAAAATATGAGTGCTTCCACACATTATTTGTGAAATTGCAACAGTGCCCCCCTATGGCCAACCATTCAGTTAAAAAAAAAATCAAAGAATATGATTAACAACAGTTGGAATGCATCAATGTCTTCCTTCTGAATACTCGTAAAATATGAGTGCCCCCCTATGGCCAACCATTCAGTTAAAAAAAAAATCAAAGAAAGTTAAAGCTGTGACAGCTTTAATCTTCTCAATGAAATTACTGACAAACACGTACATTAAAGAAGGCTTTTTTGATTATCAGTAAAACGGAGAAAACAAAGACATGACGAACTCACCTAAACGCATTCTGTATATTTGATTTATCAGCACATTAAAACACGGAGAATGAATAACTAAAGCATAAAGAATATACAGAATATGTTATTCAGCACAGATTATCGCAACAAGGACAGTGTTTACATAATGTGTTAAATGTTGGTATGTTTAATTAAACTAATAAATACACTAGCATTCAAATGTCTGGGGTCATTCATTTTATTATTTTTTATTTATTTATTTATTTATTTTTATGTTTCTGACTTTTGGCTCACCAAGGCTGCATTCATTTAATCAAAAACGCAGTAAAAACAGTAATATTGTGAAATGTTACTTCAATTTAAAATAACTTTTCTATTTTGATATATTTTCAAATGCAGGTTTTTTCTCTGACAGTAAAACTGAGTTTTCAGCTTTCATTCAGCAACCGCTTAAGAAATATTTCATATTATTATCAATATTGAAAACAGTTGTGCTGCTTTTTTCAGCATTTCTGTGATGAATAAAAAGTCCATGTATTTCTTTCAAAAATTAAAAAAAATTAAATAAATCCTACTGAACCCAAACTTTTACCGACCCTAAACACTTGTGTAAAATATGTGTCTTCCATCAAATAAGATGTTGTTTTTGTGGACTAAAAGTAATGGTAATTTTGTTAACTTTAGATAATGAATATGGCATGATAAAATACTGACTAAATTTAGAGTGTATTTATGTCAAAAAAACAAAAACAAAAAAACCTGTGTAAAACTCAACACTAGTTGAGGCTCGGTTCCAGTGCTCAGATTGCAACTCTGTCCTTGCTTCTCTTGGCTGTGGATGAAAAGAGGCTTTAAAATAGAGCTGGGCAGTCTGGGGAGAGATTAGAGCAAATGACAGCTATGACGAGAGCCATGGCCGCAACACCGGACAGACGCCCCGGGTCGACTTCTTAGAAGTCCCAGTTCCACCCAAACACTCACACAGACCTGAGCCACCGAGCTGAGAAAAATCCTTTAATTTTCTCTCCAGCCATCTGACAAATTGGAGGGAGATGGTTAAACTGCTATTTTAATTGAGAGAAGAAACACGATCCACAGCACAACATGCCTTTTCACTCCCCCTCGTCCTCTCCTCGCCACATAAATGACAATGTGTCATTGGTCAAAGAGCTGACTTGCCGTGCCTCACTGCAAACCACTGCTGGCGCTTGTTTTAATTTTGTATTTCTGGAATCTTTCAATAACTCACATATTTCAAGCCATACAATTAAAGAAGACATATCTTTGGGGACAATATTGCAGACTGCTTCACATTGCCGCATACGGTCTGATTTCGCTGGCATTTTCTCCATGTCTACCCAGAATGATGCACCCATAATAGATACTCATTCCGAATCACTCAATGAAATTTAAGCTACCATTGGTCGTACAGTGGGACAAAGGCTGAATTTTTAGCCCTCTCTGGGGAATGGTTTGGGTTTGGAAGCATTTGTAAGTTTAAGAGCACTAAGAGAACCATGTATTTTCCTGAACCCACGTGACATTTTGCATTTTTGCTAAAAATATTACTTTAAACAGACCAAAGCATGTGCTCTAACCACTTTAGCTATGTTGGGTTGTATGATATTGGAAATTGTTTTTATTGTTATTCATTACAATAGTCTTTTGTCTTTTTGGGTGATCATGTACACAACAGTTCAAAAGTTCGGGGTGAGTAAGATTTTTTAATGTTTTTGAAAGTTTCTAATGCCCACCAAAACTAAATTTTTTAATTTTTATTAAAAATACAGCAAAACAGTAATATTGTGAAATATTATTACAATTTTGAATAACTGTTTTCTATTTTATTATACTTTAAAATCCTGTGATGGCAAAGCTTTTCAATTTCCTTCAAAAATCATTCTAAAATGCTGATTTGGTGCACAAGAGATATTTCTTATTATTATCAATGTTGAAAACAGCTGTTGCTTTTTTAATTATTGATGCATATTAATGCAATTATTAATGCAATAAATTATTATTGCAATAATGCATACTTACTAAATAAAAAAGAATAATTTCTTTACAAAAAGGTGGTCAATCCTACAAAAGTCTGGTAAGAAATTCCTAAATCTGTCTGTGCTTGAAGAACGGTGGTTGAACAGAAAAGCAAACATGCAATCATGCAACACAACTAAGAAACCAAAAGAAAAGAAGGAATATTCAGAGGGCACTGCAAAAGTCTTTAAGGCATGTGCATTTATCTTCTCGTGACATTTTAGGGAACAAATCAAGCTGGCCGCTTCTGGGCCCAGCCCGTGTTTGAAGTCACCGCGCTCCACGCTTCACAGAAGCAGCAGGGCAGCGTTTGCAGCCGGGAGCACATCGTCAGACTGAGTCCTGTAGGCCATAGTCCAGAGATTAGCACTCGATTCCTGGCCAGCTAGAGGCGCTCAATTCCCACAGGGATGCGGCCTCTCTTGCTCCATAATAAAGCATGGGCAGACCTGTCAACACTGAAGATATTTGCTGGAAAGATAAGCAGAAGCTTCTGTCTTCCTCTCCTGTTTTGAATGCATGCCCATACTTTTTCTGGAAGTGTTTCCAACGGTCTATTTATTTTCCCTTTCCTGCACCTCTTTTTTTAGTTTTCCTGTTTTCAGCAGTCATAAATCAAAGCACATAATGCCTCAAACAAATAATGTTCCGGGAATCTGAAGTCGATATCTTAAGGCCGTGATGTCATTCAGTATGGAGAGAAACAGACTCGGCTCTGCATACAGTGGGGGAGGTCATTAGTAACTGTGGGATTTAGGACCTGTCTGTCTGAACAATAAACACACTTACAGTATGACCTACACCGAGAGAAGAAATTCCATTTTGAATGGTGGGAATCTCATGAAGAGAGAAGAACAAGCATTTAAGATTTAACATAATACCCCGTCATACCTACATTTGAAAAGCACTTGAAAAGCACTGTCATCATTTGCTCACCTTCATGTCGTTCCAAACCTGTATGACTTTCTTTCTTCTGCAGAACACAAAACAAAATTATATAAAGATATTTTTTGTTATGAAAGCCTGAAACACTTTTGTGTTCTGCAGATGTCATACAGGTTTTAAAAAATGACATGCGGGAGAGTAAATGATGACTGAAGTTTCATTTTCGGAGGAACTATCCCTTTAATAGCTTTTCCAATGTAGGTACGGTGGGTAACTAACTCACCGTGTGACCCACAGGATGGTGATGTCATTGACTTGTGACGCCAACAGAAGGAGTCTGGGATCACTAGTAATCTCTACTGGTAATCAAGTGTCATAGGGTTTCAGGCAGACACTGGTGGTGAGTGATGGGAACCTGTGCAGTCTGTCTCAACATATCCAGCACCACCGCAGACACGCTGCTCTCCCGTCAACCCTGCCTTTGCTTTCAATTACACTGTTATTGGACTATTTGTCAGGCTTTGAATGGGACAAGCCAAATCGGTTAGAGCTTGTTGCTGTAAGGAAACAATCATATGGTCTTGATTTCCCCTTTTAGCATCGCCTCGCCATAGCCCGCACATTATAATCGGTCGCAGCCAACATTTCACACGATGCAAGGCCAGAGAGAAAGAGAGAGCGAGAAGGACGGAGGGAGGAAAGCCAGGAGGGGTGATTTGTTATCTGAGTTCCAGAATGGTGTGTCAATGCCTTTCACCCTGGCAAGTGAGGGATGCTGGGTATGTAGATGCTTCTGTAAGGCAAGAGATGTGTGTTGCTCTTGTAAGAATGGCAGCAGGACTCAAAAGGAAGATGGACCGGCAGATTGACTTCAGCTTTGAGACAGCCAGAGAAAGGCTGTTTTGAGCAGTTCCTTTATAGTCTCCAGAGCCCAGAGGAGGTTTCTGACACCTAGACTGAGAATGTTTTTCCCAGGGTCCCTAGAGAGACAGTCTCTGCTTTTCGTTCTCTTTTTTTCCATGCTAAAGGATCATTAAGCATGTTTTTCGCACAGTACAATGCCTCTATCCAATTCATTCATCAACTTCTGTAAAATGACTTTTTCCCATTTATCTTCCTCAATCCAAATATAACACTTATCCTTTTCACTCATAACTCTCATTGTAAATATAGTGGGAGTCTTTGATAAATATGGCTTCAGTTCTTGGAATATTTGAGTAGTAATTCACTCAAAGACAAGACAGAATGAGAGACTAGTATTTGTGTGTATATATATGCCTTATTGTGAAAGCTCGTGTGTTTATGTATGTATGTGGGTTTGAGTTTGTATAATTTAAGAGGTGCTTGTGTGGCAGGCTGTGGCTTGGAGCTGGAGTTTGGGCAGTAAGGGTACAGTCAGTCCCTGTCTGGAGGCTATGTTAATCCTGTTTTCTTTAAGGAATGAATCAGAGAAAAGAACCCAAGGAAGAACGTGACTTCTCAGAGCTTTAAGCTGGGTTCTGCTCATGCTGAAGCCACCACAGCTGATTTCACACAGACATACCAGGGCACCGTGCTCACCAATAGTGCTGGAAAGCAAGGTTGTACACCATTTTCATTAACATTTTTGAATGGAAGTAGCAAACTGGTTTAAAATTCAGGAAATGTAATTAAAATAAATGCAATTTAAATACATTTTAGCTAGAAAAGGAAGGTTTGTGAAGATAAAATTAGAACTAAAAACGTATTTGAGATCAGCATGAAATTAAAATCCACATTTTCTTTTCTAAATGCATGCTATTGTTCTTACTGTGCATGATTCATTCATACATGTGTTTGCTTTTTTGACATCATGATTTTTAATGTCAATGTCATAACTTGATCGTACAGTGAAAATGACAGAAGTATAATTTTTTTTCCATATTGTGGCATCTGAGTGAAAGTAGTGACGAATGACCGACTTCTCCAACCATTGAATCCACTTAAACCCGCCCCTTTTACAATCAACTGCAAGCTTGCATTCAGATCTGCCTCCATCCAATCAACAACCAACTGACAAAACCAAGTACCCACCCTACATTTCTTTTCTTTTTCTGTTTCACAAGGATGTATGTAACAATCTGGGAAAAAAGCACAATCTGTTGCTATTTCCATTATATCACAACTTTAAAGAAATTGAAAAGGTCTTGTGTGCAGGTTTTATATATTATTTCTTTCAAATTTAACTTCCAGTTCAACTAGCTGTGTTGGGTGTGAGCAATTCAAATTCAAACTCAAACTCAAGAACTGAAAGGGAGCTAAATCTTAAAATCTCAGTTGTATCCAACCCTGCTGGAAAGTAGCAAGCATGGGACAAGGAAGTCAGACAGAATAACACACCCACAAACACACACACACACACACACACACACACACACACACACACACACACACACACAGACTCTTACTAGGCAGGGCAGGGCTGTGTGTTGCACAGGTGAGAGCCCACCACAGGTCTGGTCTCAGGCTTGCAGAGTGAAGAGTTGACCTGCGTGTTCTGATCCTGCAAACAAATGGCTTTCGTCGAGACCCGACCTGAGAGAGAGTTAGAAAGAGATACAGAGAGATAGTGAGCATAAACACAACTACTTTCTTTGGATATTTTACAGAGATCCATCCCTCTGAACCGGCCTAACATATGTCTTTATCATGCGATAAACTAATGCATCCTCTGAGCAATTTTTGAAAAGGAAAGCTTGGAGCACACTGTCCGTGAATAGTCTTTCTGGGGATTATGGGAGCTCAGGATGAATGGCAGTACTGTAGCGTGGCTTCTGTTGTGGCAAACAAAGCCGGGCCTCTGTCAGTGTGAGAGGCCAGGAGGGGCGGCCCAGAGGTCTGCTCTAAAGAAAAGCATGAATGAAACTGTGTGAGAGCGCAGATAGAGATCTGTGCTCTGGGCATGTCATAGTGCTGTCTGTCTGCCACCAACACTCAGACAACTGACTGTGAATGGAGGAGCCACTACCACAGAGATGAGCCAATGTGATTCGGAGGTCTGGAGGAAGGAGGGGCGCACTTTTGTTTTGTTTTTTACTCTGCTCACAAAGGTGCATTTGATGGACCTGGACAAATACACACATACACTTCCTTCCTCACCAACACACAACCACAGAAACTCTGCTCTCTCACACTTGAGTAAACAAAGTAAACTTTACCGTACATACAGCATCCACTCACCCCCAGCACAAGGCGCCGAGCAGTCAGAGCGCACCACGGACCAGGTGTAGTTGTGCTTCTTCTCCGGATGTGGTAGAGTGTATTCCCATGATATACCAGGATTTTTACCCTGAAGAAGAATCTGTGGAGGAGAAGAGATGGTCATGGGTTAGTAAAATCAATCAAGCAACAGGTTTCTGGTTATCCAAGTATACACTACTGTTCAAAAGTTTGGAGAAACTGATAGAAATGTAATATTTGGATTCTGCAATGATGCATTAAATTCATAAAAAAATTAAAGTCATTTAGAATTTTGCAAAAGATTTCTATTTCAAATAAAGGCCATTCTTCAAACATAAAAGAATGCTTAAAAACACAAACAGTCCATGATGCATTTTTAACATTGATAATAATTACACATAAGAAATATTTTTGAGCACCAAATCAGCATATTAGAACAATTTCTGAAGGATCATGTGACACTGAAGTGGAATAATGATGCTGAAAATTCATCTTTGCCATCACAGGAATAACTTCTATTTTAAAATATATACAAATATAAAATGGAGACTTTAAATCGTGATAATATTTCACAGTATTACTATTTTTACTTTTATTTTTGATCAAATAAAAGCAGCCACGGTGAACATATTAAACTTCTTTTCAAAAACAAAAAAAATTACTAACCCCATACTTTTGAACGCCTCTGTGTTTCAGTGCGCACAATAATGAGGCCACTTGTAGTCCGATTAAGATGCTTTCAGTTGTTTAAAAACTCAAATTATTGCTTTAGTCTGACTGAAATTGAACTGTTAACGTTCATGTGAAGTGACATGTGGCCAAGTATGGTGACCCATCCCATCCAAAGCGCACACACACAGCAGTGAACACATACACACACCGTGAACACACACCCAGAGTCAACCGGCAGCCATTTTTGCTGCAGCGCCTCAGTCGTGGTATTGAAGGTGGGAGAGAGCGCTGTACATTCACTCCCCCCACCTACAATCCCTGCCGGTACGAGACTCGAACCCGCAACCTTTGGGTTACGAGTCCGTCTCTCTAACCATTAGACCATGACTTCATATTCCAGCAAGGCAGAAGATGCCAAAGTGTCTGCAGCTGTTTTGTGGCTGTGGCTTCATTGGGACTGAGAGATGACACCACAGTGCTCCTAGTGACCCTGATTTAAAGAGATGCTTGAATTAGACTGTCTATGTGTTTGAACTGCAGCTTGTCAGTTTGGAAAACGGCACAAGTGGACCAAACTGTGGGTTGGGTGAATCTGAATATTTTGATATAGTGGTATATTGTGAGACTTTATTTCCCAGCAAGTTTTACATTGATGCTTATGTTTCAGTAGGCCTGTATGCTACAGTTTTGAAGCTGTTCCTGGAGAAGATATTGTAGTCATTAATGTGAGACTAGACCACAGAGGAAGTTCAGCCAGTTCCTCACTAAATCCATGCCCAAGGCCACTGAGGACAGCCTGAGGATAACTCTAATGGAGTGGAAATGTTCTCCGACAAGAAGAAGACCTTTGTTTTTACTCAGACTTTGCCACATGGGGATTTTCCTCAGACTATTTGTAATAAAAATGCAATGACACCAAATTCACTGGAACTGGTAAACCACCAAACTATATGTAGAAAGTATAAACAAAGCAGCTAAACAAGGATCGAATCTTAAGGGTCACGAAAGAATTGCAGCAATGTTTACACAAGCCAACAGTAATTGCAAGGCTGCACAAATTTCTCTTAAGTAAGAGTATGAACTTAAGCAGCGGATTAGGCAGATGCCACCCATCCTCTAATTACTATGGATTTACCCTCAGTTAATGTTTTGAACAGGAAGTGTATGGCGGGCTGCTGCTGATGATGTGGGAAGATTATCCTTAAGTCAGTCACACTAAACACAATAAAAGAGTCTCAATGCTCTGTCAGATTATTGGGTTATCTAAAACCATCCAAAATCTATACTAGCCAAACTTGGGTTCAGTTTAGTGCCATGACTATGTTTGACATTGCAGATGAAGAGGTATGAATTAATGTGAATTCATGTTGCATGTTTAATGAGATGCAGGTGAATGTTGAGACTGAACCACTAACTGAACGTAACTCAAGTAAGTCCAGACCTGTAGAGGAGGAAAGAATCTATCAACAGAACAGCAGAAGACATTGTGCGAATCAAACAAAGGCGGTATTTGAAGGATGGAGGATTTCCAGAGGAAGTAAAACAAGTATATTGAAACACAGTGGAAAGTTAGCAAACTTTTTAACATACTGTATCTTGGCTCACTCTCCCACTGAGCATCCAGGCTGAATCTATTGCCCTGGAAGCAGTCCATGAGACCCTGCACACTAGCCTGTTCAAAGCTGGTCCAGATTTACAGTTGGCACTCAACACAGAGCAGCTATTCCAGAATCAGGCTCAGGAGGAGGTCTCTGATCCATCTGTGATCCGGCTAGCCATCTGACTATGGATACAACACATGGGGAAACTCTACCTCTTCTGATCCAGTGTCAAGACCCGCAAGAGTCCATTGCACCATGTCTGTGCTCTGATATAGGAAGTCTAGAGTTTCACTCTTAACATATGTAACAAGAATCACAATTTTGAACATCGATTCAACATGCAAAACATCCTTCCCCATCCAAATACTGTAAAAGCAAGTTTTCTGAGGCTTCCCTGCATCTTCTTTTGTCTTATGTTGCAATGAAAGCTCAATCTCATGAGCTTCTCGCTCTAGACGCCCCCTCTTTATCTTTCACCCTAGTCATTCTGAATAATGATGGAAAATCTGAGGTAATTACTAAACTGTTGAACAGGACTACTAGGACAGGTTCATTATCAAACACTCTCAGTATAGGGTTACTACACAAAAATCCAACTGTGCCCTGGCTAGAAGCGTAGCAGTTCCTACGGTCAAGAAGAAACGCATGAATGAAAGACTGATGAATGTGAGCACAGATACCACATCTAAATGAATCACTCTGGACTGGTATGACCCTCTTTAAGACATGCCACAAGAATGTCAATACTTAAATCCTAAAAAGTCTTTAAATCAGAAGCACGTCAAGTTTGAAGGGAACTGCTCTGTTATGTCTCATCTAGTACCTCTCAATCCACATTGCTGAGCTGATTACAATAGGGTGACCATACGTGCCATTTTCCCAGGACGCGTCCTGGCCAGGATTTGTTTTGGCTTTGTTTTCCTGTTTTCATGCTTGCTGAAGGTAATGATCGAAAAGTAGTTTGACCAATAACATGCAAGCATTGTACATAATGGACCAATCATGGCGTTTGAGAAGGTGGGATCTACGGTCAAAGCGATGCAATTACGCGTACATATTAGGTGTGTTCGACTTAAAAGCAGTGCGGCTCAGACCGATCAGTGTTTGACATCAAAGTACCTCGAGAGCGTTTCGAAAGCATAACCGTCTGTATGGTACTTTGATGTCATACACCGATCGGTCTGCACACGCAAACAAAGCCAAAACCTAGATATTTTAGGCAATATAGAAATCCTGGCCAGGACGCGTCCTGGGAAAATGGCACGTATGGTCACACTAGATTACAAGCTCTGGAACCATGTCAACATTTACATTCACATTTCTCGAAATGCATTTTCCTAAGCATTCAATAAGGGTCTTGAAGCTGATACCTATCCATTTTCCATAGCATGTTAAACTGAGAGAGATTGACCAGCTGCTTCCCTCGAATCGTGACCCCAAGCCTCTCTGATCTATTGAGTTCAATTGCAGAAATCTTAATCTTTTAATCTCTCTCTACCCTCCTCTTCTTTTTGAAATTACAGAGCATACTTAGAGAGATTAATGCCAAGTCATCTGCAAATCAGACCTCTGCTGCCACCGCCCACCCTGGGGAAATCGTAATGAAGAGAGGGCATGTGGGCTGAAGGGGAATGCTGCATGCAGGTAAAGCACAGGTTGAGTGCGGTGCAGATCAAAGGCCAGTAAATAAGATCAAAATGAAAGAGTATTAAATGAAGCATGCCTAACTTTTGTACAACTTACACAACACCTAATAGTATCAAGGCCAAATGGATTTTTAACAGCTTGAGGTGTTGGTAACAAAAGAAAATTGGAAGTATGATGTAATGGATCTGCATTTGTTTTAACTGGTAAGTGAAGTCATTCAAATATACCATCATGTTAATCTTTCTTAGAGTTCAAATGATTCATTCAATCTTTACAATGACATTTTGATTGGTTACAATAAAGATTTTGGCAGCATAAATATTGAATTATTTGGTGTTACAGCATTATTCTTCATTTTAACTTAATGTTTTCTAGATTTTGACATAACATAGACATAACATCTACTTGAAATCTTGACTTAATTTCTCTTAATCTTGAGGTAAAATCTAAAAAATTTCAAAAGCTTGACGTTATCACAAGATCTTATTAATTTTCCAGTACCTCAACATATGCAAAGCTGTTTTGCCGAGACATTTTTTTCTTGGCCTGGAGATAACAAATCTTACCGTAATATATAAATAATGCTGCATCATGGATAAGCAAATTCTCTTTCCAAGTGCACATGTAACATTACATATCAGCCCACAGAACTACTACAGTCGAACACAATGTCGATAAAAGGCGTAAATGATTCTTCTGAAATCGAAAGAGCTCTCTTATCCGCACTTCAGATTTGTGCAGATATATGAAGTGTCCTTACTACGACTTAACCTCAAAGGTCATTTGAACCCATACCCATCATCACCCTTCATGTAAGCGGTGCCCTGCGCTGCCCATTAGCAAGAGCACACAGTGCAGCGAGTTCAAAGCTTAGTGCCATTCACATTGTCGCACCGTTTGATCTCGAATCTCTACATACTGAAGATGAAAGTCACAATGACCATGTCGGATCTGGCCTGCAATTAATCCCAAACAGAGGCGTTAGTCTGCCCGTTCGACTCATTTGTGTGCCTTCTCTTCTGTCTCTCTCTCTATCTTTCCCTCATTTGTTTCTCATCTCTCTCACTCACCCACTGTCCCTCAGCCTTGTTTTCATCTGACCGAATGGCCACGGCACTCATGCCAAGACCCTGTCATTGCTAATTCGCTAACAGGTGTCAGGACGGACGGGGATGGGGGTGACTCACTTCAAAGAGCAGGGTCTCATTAGTGGGGCCTGCAGCGTACAAGGTCTCAGGCCGGTTGAAAGAGCGTTGATAGTTGAACGTAGTGCCTGCGAACTGGAACCTGCAAGGCCAGTCCACCGTCCAGTCCCCCGTCAAGTAGTAGGTACCACGTTTCAGACTGCGGACAGCCAGGTAGCTGGTGGAGATCTCCATCTCCTGCACCCTGATGCTCCTCGCTCCAGCGGGAACCATCACAACAGGGTAATATTCTGAAAAGATGGAAAAAACGGGAAAATAGGTTTGCAATGTCTGCTCACTTTTGCAGTTTCTGCATTTTTAAAGGCCAGAGGGAACAGGCATCTTTGAGCTGATGCATTATCACCTCCTTCAGTCGGAGGAGAGCTATGAGGTGCCAGACTTGCAAGAGCTCCTGCTGTGTAAGTGCTCTAAAAAATACATTGCCGTTTTCTGTTAAGTCTGAGAAGAGGAGCTCTAAAGTGACAGATTTTTTATTTATTTTTTCGTTTCTTTCAGTCTCTATGATCTCTTATTATATTTTATTAAAGGGCACTAGTTCTCAAACTTTTTTTGTCAAATCAGAAGAATCAAATACACCTACATACAGTACCAATTTGTGAAAGATTCAAAACTTTGGGGTCAGTAAGATTTTATTAATAATTCTTAATTGAGAAAGGATGCATTAAATTGATCAAAAGTGACCTTAAAAGGCATTTATGTTACAAGATTTCTATTTGATCAAAGAAAAATGTGCCATGGTTTTCATTAAAATATTAAGCAGCACAACTGTTTTCAACACTGATAAAAATAAGAACCACCCCAGGTGAGAACCACTGTGTCACGATCAAGGTGTGTGGAGGCAGGCAGGATGACGAGGACGACAAGGATATGCTGTAGGCATTTTTCTATTATTTTATAATGATTTACCCCTTGTTTCTTTCTCTTGAAGCCTGCTATTCTCTTCAAAATATTGATTTGTCAGAGAAGATTAGAAGGTATGAAAGAAACATGCTCTGCAAGAGCCTTACCGTTGGCTCTGTGCTGGAGGGTGTACTGGCCACTGTAGAACTTGCAGGTGGAGTTGTCTCCTTTACACACTCCACAGGCATCCAAAGTGGCCTTTGATCCCAACACCTGGTCACAGCCCACCGGCTACACAGGAAAAGTTATTAAAACAACATTTTTTAACTGACACACACAGTTTAGCCCACTAGGCCTGATGAATATAACAAAATGCTAATGTCAATCAATTGATGCCCGAAATATGACCATCTCAGAATCATCACCTCCTCACGTACCTTGCATATCCCATCAATGCACACGCCTCCTTTGTAGTCAGAGCAAGACGTCCCATCTTTGACTTTGCTGGACATAGCGAAGAAAAAATCAAAGTCCTCAGCAATGCAGTACAGCTTACAGATGTCCTCTTCTAGATAAGAGATGAATGGGGTCATTAGATCTTATAGCTTCAGAGTGATTTTATGTTAGATCTTCTGAGGCTGTGTACTGGCACCCTCAGCATGCTGCTATGAAGTCTCACGCATGAGGACATATGGAGCGATAATCCTGTGAACATTTTTCAGACAAAATGCAGGTGGACTTTCATGTAAAATGGAAAACAATTCTTTGAAAAGCATGCAAAAACTCACAAACCCACATTATCAATGATTCCCATACATTACATTTCAGTTTTAAAATAAAATAAAATTAAATTAAATTAAATTAAATTAAATTAAATTAAATTAAATTAAATTAAATTAAATTAAATTAAATTTTTATTCAATTAAAATAAATGTGACTTTATTTTAACCTTTCGTCTGAGAGTCATCAATACATAAAAGACAGAACTTTGCTGTCCGTCATGCATCATTTATTTTTAGCAGACACAATGCAGATGTGTACTACTGTCTAGTGCTAATTACTGGGCATGTTTAAGCTGTGTGTGGTTGGCTGCGAAGCAACTGGAAGGCTCACCATGCTGTAGAGAACATAGCCACAGAACACATGTTGCACTAAAATTTTAAACTCTGTTACAAATGGGCCCATAAAGCTGGAATGCAAGAGAGGCGACTATATCCAACTCTCCTACCGAGAGAAAAATATGGACCTATCAGAGATGCATCTGCATCCTCACACAAATACAGGCTCATTCAATACAACAGCTCAGTATGAACTGTTAGATTTTTTTCTCTCTCTTTTTTAGAAACATATTAGATCATAATTATTGTGCTTTTACTTCAAAGGAAAACAAATGATATTGTTACAGACTTACAGGTCTAGCTGAATAGAAAACTAAACAGTAAACCTAACAATAAAAGCTGAATAATGCCCTTAAAAGTAGAGAGGAGGGCAAGCGAAACTTAACAACAGGACACGTCAGCAGTTAATCCAATTTGATCTGACTCCAAAATCCCAGTCAAACTGGGGTAAGTGATTCCTAATGTAATGGAGGCCAGCTAGTAAGAGCTGTGCAGGTAAAACCTCACTCCCCTGATCTCAAGAGGTGCGTTAGCGACTGACGCTAGAGACTGCAGTCTTTATCGACTTTGTTAGCGCATCCACCTCCCATACCAGAAACGCTGGTTCGAATTGCACTCGGAGCAAGTGCAGGGAGTAGAACCACTACACTACACTAACACCTGTACTAGCCAATGAAACACACAACCTACTGATTAGAGCATGGAGCTCCATTCACCGCACTGGTCTTTCTCATAAGTTTTCGAAAATCTGACAGGACAGTACCCAATTGTTGCTATCCTTTCCCTTTTTCACTCCCAGTCCGCTAACACATAAGAAAGCATAAATACACAAACAGGGTCCTATTCAGGTCCAAACCTGCCTACAGGGTTGATCAGTGCACTGCACTCACAGAACGAGTGGATACATGTTTCCAGTCCAAATCCATGCACAGCTTAGACAACACACATTAGGGGAGATGAATTGCTTGGGTGGAATATATTTGTCCTATGTAACAATCTCAATACATATTGTCAGAAACTAATGAGAATGATTACTATTTAAAAACACAGCTGTTCTTGCTGACTCAGATAACAGAGGGTATTAAAAACTAAGCAGGTAAAGTCTGAGATGAATGTGTTTTAGAGGTTTGTTGTTAGTTATGTCAGACAAGGTTACATGTAGGCTACCGTTTAAAATTTTGAAGGTCAGTAAGTTTATTTATTTTTTTCAACAATGATGCATTAAATTGATGAAAAAGTGACAATACAGGTTTTACACTGGTTTTACACAATTTTACACTGTTAAACTATTTGAAATAAATGCTGTTCTATTCATAAAGGAATCGTGAACAAAAATGTGTCACCGTTTCCACAGAAATATTAAGCAACTGTTTTCAACATGGATGATAATAATACGAAATGTTTCTTGATCACCAAATCAGCATATTAGAATGATTTCTGAAGAATTGTGTGACACGTAAGACTGGAGTAATAGCTGCTATTTTAAATGTAATATTTAACAATATTACTGTTTTACTGTATTTTTGATTAAATAAATGCGAAAGAGACTTTTTTCAAAAACGTTTAAAAAATCTTATAAAAGCTGACTGAACTCATACATTTATAATACATTCCTTTTTGGAAAAAAAAGTGTGAGTCTCGCTCGTCCAGTAAATGAAGACGCATGGGGATTTTGAACCCACAGCAGAGGTTTACTGTGCTCTCTTCCAGCTGTTAATGAGACATTTGCTTTTGTTCGTAATGAATGCATTAAGGCCCAAATATCTCCCATACCTTCCACTTTGGTGTATGGCTTCCATTTGTAGTACCATCCCCTGAAGGGTTTGCTGTTGTACTCGGTGCACTGCTGAGCTCTGAAGTCCACTCCATTGGGCTGGCATGGCTTGGTGTTACACAGCTGGTGCAGTCGACTGGGGCCTTGGCAGAACTTGCCGTTGTGCTGTGGGCTTGGGTGAAACAACCAGCAATTAGCACAAGCGAACATGGAAGCAAGGAGAGAGAGCGAGAAGAAGAGAAGAAACAGATGTGCATCAGCAAGCATTCAACACGCGAGAGGAATGACAGCCATTAGGTATTTTTTGGAAGAGGGGCTGGTGAGATGCATTTCATATGATGTGCATTACCATCTGCACTAAGGGAATGTCTTTGTGTGTTATCGGTGATGTGTCTGACTGAATCACATCCCAACTGACAGCTGTAAAAGATATAAAGTGTTTGGGATTCAATTCCATTCATGACTTGGACTCGCCTGTGTTTTTAAAAGCTATGATTTTTGAATAATAATCTTCAATGAGAACAAGACAACACGCAGCTGTGCTGATGTACTTTACACATCGTGTTATCTGAGTCGACTTGCTTGCAGCCAAATAGGAAACCTGGTTGAAAATGGTTTGTTTTGGATGGCCAATACCATGTTTTCTTAACTAGTCCACCAACAAGCTGACCTTGATAAACAGTGATTTTCTGGCTTATCTAGCAAAAAAACAACAATCATCAAACTAACATAAACCAGCTTGGAACAACATGGAAATTCATTCATTCATCTTTACTTCTCTAAAACCTGTAATGGCCAACTCTTGCAAGCAAGGCTGGATATCATAATAGGTCAGCCCTGAGGCTCTAGACAATGTGTTCAAACCGTCACCCTGTCTTGCTGAGGCTGCTTGAGGCTGGAGAAGAGCGGTAGCCTCCTCCCAATGCCACAGGAATGCCTCCAAGTGCCACATGAAGCAGACAGTCACCATCTTTCCTGAGGGAAAAGCGGTCCAGCAACTCCTGTAACTGAGGCTGTGAGAGCGGAGGCATGCTTGCGGCATGGCTGCATGTTTTAAAGTGGAAGACTCTTGGGTACCCTCTTGTAGCCTAACCTCAAAGCAAAGGACTGCGCCATGGGCCTGTCAATGTGTGTGTGTGTGCCTGTGCATGTTCCTTTAGTCTCTGGCCTTTAGCTTTTTATTGCATGTTCACACTTGAGGTTAGGAAACCGCTCACATAGAGGACAGATGAGCCTTCCACGCACTTCGAAAAATCACTCATCATCTTTATTCATGTACAGTGATCAAACAGAGAAAGCATGGGGAAAACACACACAGTGAGATAAATGAATGACTTTTCTTCTGAAAACTGACAACATAGTTGCATTGTCTAGAACAGCCGTTTTCAAACTGTGGGTCTTGACCCTGCAGAGTGGAAATAAGTGGGTCATAGAATGGTGGTGCACTCAGATGAACGCAAACATACAGTGCGACCAACTGAACAAATGGCTCTAAAGAGCTGATTATTTTAATGAACTGTTTACATGTTCGCTTACTGAACAGTAAATTCCAGCATTTTTTAACTTCTGTTTCCATCCTGTCAAAGTCAATGTGTTTTTGATTAAATGTCTGAAATAAGGTCAGTGGTTAACACAAGTTAAGCACATTTTACTTTTTTTTTTTTCAGCACATTTTTACGTTTTATTTTACAAAAATACCTCAGTAATACCCCACTTGTTGTTTAAGCTTTTACGTGTCTTCAAATAAGGTTGTAGCTAACAAGTGGCTAAATAGGACTACAGAGGTTGTCACGCAGAATAGGTAAACTCATCTACTCACTAGTGTGCTTTTACAGCCTCATTGTGTTTATACTCGGCTCCTTGCAAACTATGCTAACTAAAACATTCCAGCTTGTACATTTTAAAGTAAAGATCAAAAGATTGGTTGGAAACTTACGGGTGACTTTGAAGTTGTGTAACAGTGGAGTAGTTTGTTTATAGCCTATTTTAGTTAATAAAAGTTGTGTTAATTTGTGAAGATTATCTTCACCAAAACATATAAGAATCATAAACTTTTGTAGGTCACAAAGCTTATTTTTTTGCAATAATCCAAAGGCCAATGGGAAATCCTATTGGTTTTTGTTGAGGAAAGCAGAGTGATGTTAACTTCCAGGTTGCCCTACAAAAATATATAGGCAAATACTATATATTAAATTACTTTAATAAAAACTTCAATAATTAATTATTTTTTTTTTTTGGTGGGGTCTCATAAAAGATTACACTTTTCTAGGTGCATCCTGGCGTGAAAAAGTCTGGAAACCCTTGATCGATGGGTGTGTATAAACATGTTGCATTGGGAAATTATGCCTCACTTTCAGGAGAAGCCAGTGAGATCAATGATAGTCTAACAGTGCTGTCAGGCGGCTGTTTGTGCACGTCTGCTTATGTTTTAGGAGCAGGTTTTCAGGCTGATCCTATTAGAGCTTTAGCGACAGTGTACTATGGGCCCATATGGTAGAGCAGTTACAAAAACACACAGAGCACAGAGAGAGATTGAAAGAGAAGAGGCAGGGGGGCAAGTGCATGTTTTCTGATTAGACGTTTAAATAACTGTGCCCAAATCAATTTTGTGCTACATGCTAAACTTCACACAAGAGTTGTTGGCAAAAGGGAACATTATTATCTTTTTCTCTTTGTCTACAAGTCTTTGTAGCATCATTTTCCAACTGGGGAATGTTAAATCTCAGAACAGCAGTATAAGTGCAAACTTCAGAGGAAACAGGGTCATGTACACCCTGTCTGTTTGCTTGCCTGAATCTCTCCAAAACTCCCCACATAGACCCACATCCTTTTCTACCCCACTCTCTCAATACATCTCCCATCTCTAAGACCTCCTTTTTTAATCAAACCCTCATTATGCCCACACTGTTAGCCATTAGATATCCACTTTAAAGTCAAGTCATTAAAACAGAGCCCTCTACGTATAAATAAACAATACCAAACAATGATGCAATGAAATTTAATCGTTTGTTTGTTAGGGGCTCTCCGAAGTCCTGAGGGTGATTGTGCATGCATTCTACTCTTTCAAATTTGCCCTCTGGTAATGGTGCATTAATGCTACCCATACTCTGTTAGTTAACACTGTATCCTGTATGGTAAACAATCTTCAAAAAGGCAATCCCATCAACAACCATCTCCACTATGCTGTTGCCAAGAGATGTATTTCTCAAACACTCATATCAAAGACACATGAACCTGTAAATCTGGCAGCTGAGTATGGATAAAGTCATGGGAGCACATTTATCAGATCATATTTATTGATAAATGTTGTTTGAGCGAGATGACATCTCATACCTCTGGCTTCAACAGCTGTCTCCTGAGGACCTTATACTGAAGTGATGAGTATGGGGATTCCCCTTGAACCTCACCGCCACAAACAGAAGACATACCAACACCTATTATGCTGCAGGTGCTGTCTGAGAGCCGCAAGGGAAGATTGTGCATCAAAATGCCTCTTTTGAAACATTTCCGAGTGAAATGATATAGATAAAATGTTCTGGTCAACATGAACTCTGCTTTTCATGCAGAATGGAGGCAGATGGTTTCATGGTTTGCACCTCAGCAGCTCAGTGAGAAGAGAAGTCAGTTACAATGATCACAGCACACTTGACAGCAGTGTGAAAAGCAGCGATAGTGTCTTATTTTTACTAAACCATTAGGGGGGTGACACTGATAGAGAAAATGGAGGCTAATACCTCCCCAAAAATCAGATTATAGTGGAATTTCTGCCTTAAAGGCAAGCCCAGCTAAGCCTCTCTCTGTGGATCAGCTGCCATTGAACTAATATCAACAAAATCAGGACAAAAAAAGAAAACATTAAAGCACTCACACTGAAAACACTTTATTGTCTTGCAATAGAGTGGGAAATGCCTGCTCTTTTCTAGCAACATGCTTCCAAAAAAGCAATCATATTGCAGCATCTGTCCAAATGTTGTGCATCTATGTAAAGGATCTTTAAATCAACCTAATCTTTAAATCTACCTAAACACTTTGTATGAGATCACAACGGATAATATAGATCATATGTGCCCAATTTAATGTTTCATATTAACCCAATTGAACAAACACACAATGATTATTTTCCTGGGTATTTCCAGGGCATTAAGGACATTCTCCACTTCAACTCACATCACTTTGCATAGTTTCTTTCTTGCTTTCTTTCTTTCTTTACTGGAACTGTTCATGTCAGACATGTTGGTCTGGCTGTCTAAGGCATTATAAGTATTTCCTATTCCAACAGAAATATGTTAAGATGCTCTAGACAGCCAAATGTTGATGAAGCACAATTCCATGTTCCATCAGCTTGACCAAACCACGTGTAGAGCCACCTGTGGTCTATAGAAACCCAATCTCAAATAAACCTGCCACCACATACAGAGAGGAAGCACCTGAACCTAAACGCACAAAAACTCAATCTACTATTTGACAGACACTTAAATCTTAAACAATCCTGCTTTATACCTTAAATACAATGTAAGTCACTTTGGATACAAGCATCTGGCAAATGCATACATGTAAATATTTATTTATAGTTTGTTTGTTTTTAAATGACTTTCTATTTATTCTTTCTAGTGCTGGAATGATTATGAGCTGCAATTATCGGAGTACTCTGTAGATATACTCTAAAACAGTGAACCATGACATACCAAGATACACTTAATCCAAGATTTACTGCAGTGATAGTTTTAATTAGCATAAACAACCGACCAGAGCACAATATTTAACACTAGAATCGCCACGGGGTAAATTTTACCCGTGGCTGTTTTTCAAATGTACACAACAGATTTAAAATAAAACATTCAAGTCTCCCAGTCATTGACTTTTACTAAAATTATGTAATTTACAGTCCAATGTTGTTAAAAATTTAGATAAAACCAGATCAAAAAACAGGGCATTTATACCTATAAGGGCCAGCAGGTCAAATTTACCCACCTATATATTGCATGTATTTTGGCACTGTCATTTTCATGCCGCTTATATTTTAACATTGTACATTTCTAGGCAACGCCTTTCACTCACTGATTTAGCTTAGCCTAACGTTACTCTAATTGGTCAAACTTTGGTTTAATTATTTAATTTTTGTCTTGCCATATCGTTTATTGTTCGCTACTGTGTTGCTATTCTAGTCTGGCCGTTTCAAAGAAGAAAAAAAATCTGATCTATATGATGTAATGAATAAAACCATTTTTTGATTACCCAAAGTTTAATGGTGTTGTTCTCTTATTCAAATTATAAATTATATAACTAAACAAATTAATAAATATTTAGGTGAAGCTGTGCGCTTGAATTTTTTCGCATCATCGCATCATCCTATGCAGTGTGGTGAATTATTATTGTTCATTATTGTCTATTGGCTATTTTAGTAATTTAAATAGCATGGGTTATTGTGCAGGCTTTTTTTTTTTTTAGCTTAGGCTACTTACAGTTATGGATTAGTGTAGCCTGCATTAAAAAGTCTTGAACATAAAACAACAGGATAAAAATATAGTTGATGACTAGACATAATCATTTCATGACTCTAGACACTTCTTTGTGAAGACAGTGGCATAATACAGTGAATTAATATGTTCTTTAGCCATATAAATAAAGTTGTCATGTGCGTGGGTAAAATTTACCCGCTGGTGCTTTTAGGTATACAGCTACCTCTGGCGGTTCTAGTGTTAAATAAGGTCATTTTGCAATCAGACGCCATATTTACATGGATTTCCTCTCACATAAACACAAAACTGAATTTAACCCTATTGTTCAAATGCATAATAGATTGTTCATTCAAAAAATATATATAATAATGTGTCATTATCAGTGTTGGGTGTAAATAGTTACTAAGTAATTAGTTACTGTAATTTAATTACTTTTCCCTTGAAAAAGTAAAGTAAGGGATTACTCTTACTTTTTCTGTAATTTAATTACAGTTACTTCTTATGTAATTGAACTTAATACGGTGTATATATTGTAGAACATTTATATACAATACAGTACAATCGTGGATTTAACATCAAAATTTAAAGTCTAACCTTAAAATGCATGCTTTCTATGTACCCTGCTCACTTTACATACTTTGGTGAGTTAATAAGAATATTGGTAACACTTTAGTGTCCAATTCTTACTATTAACTAGTTGGTTATTAGCATGAATATTACTGGGATGTTGGCTGTTTATTATTACTTAAAACGCACATATTATGTGCTTATGCCTTATTCGGCAATACCTTATTCTAAATCCTTAATTCTACCCAATTCCTACCAAATTCTTAAACTTAATTGTCAACAACTACTTTATTAAGTATTAATAAGCAGTAATTACGAGTATATTGAGGCAAAAGTATAGTTAGTTCATAGTAAATATTTAGTTAATAGTGAGAATTGGACCCTAATCTAAAGTGTGACCAGAAGAATTTATGCAGTTATCTATTATTTATTTGAAAGAATTAAAAGAACTGTTACATGTCTATCCTTGTATCATTCATTTACTTTGATATAGGATTTAGAAAGTAATTAGTAATAAGTAATTAAATACTTTTTGGAGAGAGTAATTTGTACCGTAATCTAATTACACTGTTGAAGATGTAATTAGTAACTAGTAATTAATTACTTTATTAATTACTTT